TCATCCCTCCCTGGGATGGCTCCAGGGAGGGATGAGAGACTCCAGATGCCGGCGGCCGGCAGCGGCAGTGCCGGCGGGGGGGGGCGCCCGGTATTTTTGATAATAGCGGTCATCAGCGGCTTCTGAGCCGCTGATGACAGCTATTAATTTAAAGGGGACAGTCTGCTGAACAGTTATACTATAAGCTGATGGTCGCTAAAGCGACCATCAGCTTATAGTAGAACTGTAAATGCCAGGTCCGTACGACGTACTGAGCTGGCCAGCTGGAAGCACTTTTGTAGGTCCGTATGCCATACGTCCTTGGCAGCGAAAGGGTTAAAGCTTAGTCATTAACAGATTAATTTCCAAACCTTCTATCCGTTGTATAGCCGAACAAATGCTGTCTGCGTGACACTAGCAGCCCTAGATGGCGCTGGCGAGTAGTATTGCTGTGAGTATGTGTGTTAGGCATATCTCACTTTCTTTTTGGTCACCAGGACAGAAAGTGAGTTGTCTGTTCAAGTAGATCAAAGCAATGCTGCACAAAAGCATTGATTTGCTCCAGCTACGGAGTAATAGTATCAAACTATTACTTTGCACTTGGAGCCTAACTTTCTGTTTTGTTCCCCCCCCCCCACCAATGCATCCCTTCCCCCTTGAGGCCCCAGCCAGCTGTATGTCATGCTTTTTTTTAACCTTTTTCTGATGTCTTCTGGCACTAGCACTCACTGCTTTAATACATTGTGAGTACTGGGTGACAGGCTTAAGGAGTATAGAGCCATAACACCTTGCACTCAGAGTCTTTGCTATGCTTTTTTTGGGATAGGTGATGATGGGTGGTTTTCAACTTGGAAGACTGAGGACATCTTGTGGCAAAAAAAGAGATACAGTGTTGGACTTATGCGGTTCAAATCGATCTCAAAGTCTGACCAAAGCACTCCAGAGCTGGAGTAATTACATGCTTTTGTGATGCATTGCTTCGCTTTGAGCTGCCTTATTATTCTAAGTCTGTGTACATGAACCCTAGACCGACAAGAACCATTTTTCCATGGATTAATTAATTGTAAAAGTTGAGCATGTTGACGTTTTGTCTCATTGTACACTGTGTAGAGAAAGGTTTACCTGGAAGATATCGTTTTTTTCACAATTCACGTGTACACTTATAATGCAGGGCCTAAATATCAAAAATGCTCATATCATTTGTATTTTAGATTTGTCATTAATTTTATTTATTTTTTTCATTTTCTTGGTTAGAGCTTACACAAGAGTTGGAGTCAAAAAGAGTGGAGGATTTCCAGCAAGGTATGGTTGATTTGTTGCTGTTTAAAGGGTGTATAGTGTTTTATACATATTTTCTTAATATTAGGATCAAAACTAAAAGATTAAAGTGTAATTTTTAGTCAGACAAATGCAACAGATACCTGACTGAGTCGCAGGAGTAATTTAGCTCTCTTCCCCACCTGCTGTGTTTAGATGGGGCTATATGGAGATTAAATTAGGCAACGACAGTATGGACTATAGTTACTATGAGGTACTTGCGGGCCTGTGTCTAGGGCTGCAGGGCTTGAGGGGACATTAAGCGTAAACATTTACTTTTTCCTTACTCCAAGGCATAGAAATAAAGCAACTATCTCCACAGCTTTAGCTAGGGAAAGACAGCTGGGTGCTTGCAGGCAGGAGTGTGTCCTTGCCCCAACCAAACAGGTAAATAGTAAGAGAAATATCCAGCCGCACTCCATACCACGCTGAATCAGTTTGTTGAAGGTTCATCAGTGACACTGAGTCTTGCCCTGGGTCCGCCCCCTCTGACATGTTTCTCCTAATTGGGTGAAACATGTCAGAGGGAACAGAGTGCGGCCAGATTCTTCCTTTACTATTTACTTTATTTTGGTTCCATGTTCTGCCCATCACTCCACCTTTCTGATTACATTTATCAAGAGAACCGGAAAAAAAAAGGAGGGCTCAGGGTATGTTATGAAGAGCCACACTTCTCTTTGTAGTATTGTTTGGTGATCTGTACAGTTGAAAAGTAACTCTGCATATAAAACAGCTTGCTGCCTCTAACAGCAAATTCTAGAAGTAGTTTCTGTTAAAATAATCACATAATACACCTGATGGAGGTTGAATAAATATAATTAAGGCTAGTCAAAATTGAGTCTTTATTTCCCTGAATTTATGGCAAATGAACCTGAGGATTTTGGTGAATTGTCACCATTTTCAGCTAAATGCATTGGAGTCAATAGAGATGGTGGTTTTTGGTATTTTTGTAAAGGATGCAGTGTGTTTTAAATAGCTCCTGAGGGATACAAATATGGTTCCTTTTAGTCATCCTGGACATGTTTTTGTGCCAAAAAATAGCCCCTTATTATTTTATGGTAACAAAATTAAAAACTGTCAGTGGGAAAAAAAAGGAAAATGTAAAAAATGAAATCAAGTACAACACAATCAAATACACAAAAAAACACAAACACAGAGAACACCTAATTAAAATGGAAGAAACTATCCTAAATAAGCCAACAATAAAAATAAACTCTAAATAAAGAAAACAATAGTAGATATTTCACCTAAGCAGCTCAATTAGCAAAATTGAGAGTTGCCTCTTCACAAAATTTCACCAACAAATTGTTAATTTGACAGCGAAATCAATTTCACCTAAATGAATTCACTCGTCCCTAGTCATTATCATCCTGGTGTGATTGTGGAGCATGATGCCTACTTCTGAAGACAGTCACCAAAGAAACTGCTACAGCTGGCCTTTTCTCTTTAGAAAACCCAGAATGCTACGCAAAACTATTGTCAAAGGTGCACCTTAAATGAGACGTTAATTTTTAAAGATAAAACGATATGCAGGTTTTATGTATAATTAAAAAAAAATTATAACACATCACTTAAAAAACTTGGAAATGATTAAATGAAATTGACATAACCATTATGATATCCCTCTAATTATCAACTCTGTTCCATTATATAATATGGTGCTATTCTAAACACAATTATAAATATAATGATTCAATTTCTTGTATGTATAATTGCTCTCTTGTTTCTATTTTTTTTTTTTTTTTTTTTTTCCTGCCTCCCTCCCTTTTTTTTTTTGCACCGAGGCAAAAGCAGTGTACTACAAGGGTTTAGTAAAGTTTTGTTCTTTAACCCTTCCTCACCCTACTAAAAAAATTGTTTTTGTATTTGTTTGTGTCCCTCTTGGAGAGTCTTCCCATCACTTCCTGTTCTGACAGAAGGTAAGGGTAAAATAATCCAAATAGGGACATGGGCAGCAATAAAAAAGCATTTGACCATTCCCACTCTATCCAAAATAAACATTTCGGCTGTAGTTGGGACTTAATTCATGTCTATACATCAGTGTTTTTCAACCTATTTTCAACGGCACAACAATCTAGTATGCAAAATCTTGAGGCACCCCAGTCTAAAAGGTAACAAACTTAAATGTAATTATGATGCGTTGGCCCCACTGCCCAGAAAAAAAACTAAACTCTTATTCCAGACAGGGTTCTGGTATGAATTTTAAGGTGGAACCCCAGGCAAACCCCCCTGCTTTCACATAAGAAGCCCCAGTTCACACCAGGAGCTCCCTTCACATCAGAAATTTGAAGGCACCCCTGGCAAAGCTAGGAGGCGCCCAAGGGTGACACGGCACACCGGTTGAGAAAGGCTGCTACACATAAACCAAGTTGTATAATTGCAGTTGTGTTTTTCCTGTTTAGGATTACTCCACTATAAAGTGTATGAAAATAAATGAATTATTCTGCCTAGTTTTCATGGTTCCATTTGTACCGATAACCCAGTAATGGCTATTTCATATGTCTAGTTATTTTCCCGTATATAGTTTTCAGACAGAACCACATAACATCTTGTGACTTGAGTAAACGAGTTTCTTAGAATCTCCATTTTTTTTTTACCTCCAGCAAGACAATAAGCTCACATTTATAACACATGTAATAAAACTTGTACTTATTAAGTCATGTTTTAGCAGGTTTTCAAAAGGTGTCTGCTTACAGCATGTAAATCATGTAGCTGTGACTCAAAGGAAAGACAATTAATAAGAGTCTGTTGCGCTGGGTGGAGGGATCTCCTAAACTGCCCAAGCCACGCAGCATCACAATGAAGAAATACAACAATAAAGTGTCATGAATAATCAAATGTAAACTAACTATGGTTTCAAACAAATGCAGCATGATGAAATGATCTAACCTTCCTGAATCCATGTTTTCAGTGTTTAAAAAATTGTATTGAAATGCCCCAAAAATCTATGTTGGCAGTCAGGGCTGTGTATAGACATCATGCTGCCCCAGGCACTCCTGAATAATGATGCCCTTTTGTACGAACATCATTCCTTATATTATACATGTATTTTAATAAAAACTAATGCTTGAATGTGCTATTGACAATAGTATGTTGTTTTCCATATATTCAGTTATTTTTATTGTATGAAGCAACAAGGCTGAAAGCATAGGGCATGCCTGGTTGAATGGTCTGTTGTTGCAGCCCTCCTACCCCAGTTTAGTAGTACACTAACAATATCAGAAAGTACAACAAGGCTGGAGGCAGAAAATCTTACAAAGACTGTTTACTATGCTGTTTCAGTACATCTAGAACTGATGATAAGCTAACTGCCCTATTCTGCTTCAAGTTTACATTCATAGTTATGTGCACAGTGTACTGTTCCACCAACAAAAACACACACACTTATCACTTTGCAAGGTGTTAGTTTGCAACCTTTTATCCTGCTGACTGCTGTGTTGCCCCTGTTAGCTTTACCACCCTGGGCTATGTAGGAAGCTGACACTGCAGACCAACAAACAAGGAAAGTAGAGATGTGTTGTTTACATTATAGTGAGTGTTCTGACTCCTCCTGTGTGAACATTTACCACAATAGTTCACTTGCCAAATTTAGTTCCAAATGTCCAGAGGTGGCCAAAAGAGGTAAACAACATTTTTTTTAAAATTATCATGGTTTGAACCTTTTAAAGCTTGGTGCCCTTATGGAAATTACAGACCTGTAGTTAGTATTACAGCAATGTGGAAATAATGCAAGTCTTGTAGTCTTTATTTTTGACCTCCTTTGTACCTCTGTATCAATTAGAGCAGCACGTGTCCTGCCTTCAAAGACCTTACTACGCCAAGATACTGCTGAAGAAGGAGCAGCACATTTGCACAGCGATTTGATAAATAGTTATTGCTTGTGATAATCATTCAGTGAATGTGCTAGGGTGAAAGCAGTTGTAAGCTGCAGCTAGATACAAAAATCCTTGGTAGTCACAATCCAACTGGTTTAAAAATACGGTGACTTTCCGTATCGGACAAATGTCATCCTTTTTTGGTAAGTCCTGAATATTTGGTTTTCCCAGAAAAGTGTATAGAGTCTAATCTGCAAAGAATCATAAAGTTCATGGAATCCTAACCAGGCAGGTCTGTGTAATCATCGATTCAGGTGGACCAAACAGTGTCTTTTGGTCAAAATAGATAATAGAGAATTGGTTGGTTGGTTTACCTCTAGTGTTTCCCTGTGACTGTTGAAGGTTTGCTGTCTTTTTCTGTGAAAGATGAGGGGGGATTCCTAAACTGGCCCATTCACACCAGAACATTGCGCTGAGCACATGTTACCAAGTGCATTTAGAGGTGCGTCAGGTGCCATTCAAATAAATGTGTGAACGGGACCCTTAGATATACACCACAACCAACGTAGGCTTATTTGCGCATAACAATATTATGGGCAGGGCAGTGTCCAACTAATTTCTTATCCTTTGTCACTTTTGATGGTGATCTACCTGCATATGATCATACTTAGTGTATTTTTCAGTATTCACTTGTACATCGATTTATCTGCACGCTGGTAATCAATTATGAAGCTGAGGCATGTAGTATTTATCGGCTTGACTTGTTAAGAAATATACTTGTGAAACTATAGCAAATGAGCCTACATTTAGATCTGTAGCTATATGTTATGATGTCTGATGTTGTTCCAGTGTTAACCGAGTCATGGTTCACCATGCACAACAGAAGTCTTCCTGACCTCACCTCGTAACAATAACATCATCACAGTTCCGGATCATTCCAGACCATTGGGTAGTGAAGACATGCTCCAGATGAAAAATATACATATGCTTTAATATGTCTCTTTTTTTTTTTCTCAGATCAAATTGAGCTGGAAATGGAGGAAAAATGCAGAATTCTGGAAGCCCGGTACAGTGAAAAAGAAAAGCTGAACCTGCATTTAAAGAAAGAGCTCTATCATCGAGAGAATCGAGTTGCAGCTTTGAGATCTAAGCTGAGGGAAAAGGAAAAAAGGTTCTTGGAGGAAGTGAAGAGAAGAAGTCACAGAGTTACCATATTAAATACAGAGCTGCACAAGCAAACTGAAGCTGCAGCTTATCTATCTTTCCAACTGCATACCATCAAGTATAAGCAGCAAAGCAAGCAGCACAGCAATCAAGTATCATCTTGTCCCCTTGACCTCTCAGTAGTCAAACAACCGAAGGAAAAGGTCAAGAGGAGAGTCCACAAGAATCATAGTGCATGGAGGGCTGAGTGTTCTGCAAGCAAGGATATAGCAAGAGACTCCTTTCAGAGGGAGCAGATCACCAGTTATGATGAGCTGGAACCGATGCCAGATCCAGCTCTGTTTTTATATCCCAAGCGATACCTGCAACATCACCGGCAGAGACCAGAACCAAAATCTCATACCCTTGAAAAGAGTGGCAAAGGTCATGTTGGTGGCGCAATGGCACTTGGCAGTCAGTGGTCGGAGAAGCTTTCATCAGATAATGAGGACTCACCACCTTCTATTCCTGTTGTTAAAGCCAAACTTCCAAAAAGTGAAAGAGGAAAGAGGCGAGCTTTGGCTCGACAAGATTCCAGGGATTCCGAATGAAGCAGGACATTCTGTCCGAAGTCCTCTTAAAAAGATATATGTTAATCCAGTAGGAGAGTTTGTAGAATAAACTGGTTGTTACACTGTATGTCCACGTGCACTGCTCTCTTTTATGAAGTCTTCCTACATCTGCTACGTTTCTTCCTCATTGCTTAGTGGAAGATTTTTCCAGCTGCCTCTGTTTCCCTACAACATATCTTCTTTGGAAGTCCTTTCTGCAAATTTGCTATTATATATCTTCCTTTTGTTAAATATAAAAACAAAATGTAAACACAAAGTAGCAATACTGGTTTTCCACAAAAGAATGCTCAATGGCATAACTAATCTCAAAGTTGGCTTTGAAACCTCCTACAAGAATATGACAGACTGTGCAGTGTTCTTGGCAGTGCAATTTGCTTGCCTTATATGGTATTTGTATATGATTTTTTAGGATAATTTAGATCTCTTTGCTGCTTGGCCTTGGTGAATATCACAACACAAACTTTAAACAAACATGTATCATTGACCGCATGGTCACAATAATCAGGAGATTCTACTAAACAAGGAACATCTACTGAACTTCTGAATGTTTTCCTTATTTGTGTTCCTTAACAGATTTCAGTAAAGGTTTGTACTTTTTAATTGAATTAATGTCACACAAAAAAGCAAAACAAAAAAAACAGATTAATTTATGCTCAAGGAATTCAGGGATCAGGTTAATGAAATGTACTTCTGTATGACTTTTGTACGATAAGGAAAAAGAGGTTTTATTTATTTTTACATCTGCTGAAAATGTTTATTAAGACAACACTACAGTTTGCACAGTTGAACAAAGAACGAGCTGGTTTCTCAATTGCTATTTCTGATTTATGTCAGTTTCAGTACATACCAAAGTGATACTTGTATTTCAATAAGCTGATGTACCATTTCCTCCAGTGCTTTATGCCATGTAGTCAGTATTATGCTTTGAAGCATTTGTTGAGGGAGTTTTCAGGTGATGTCAGTTAGTGACTAGACACAGGAAGGCACTTTACTTATTCATTAGTGCTCTGCCGTTATGGTTTTGTTAAATCTTTATAAAATAATCAGTTTCCAAACTATGTCCTTTCTTGTCAGCTTTCATTAAAAATGTATATCATCCTCGCTTTACCCTTAGTTATGAAAATCAGTGTCTACAGCCGTTGTGCTTAGAAGTAAGCCAAAGCCCTGTCTGTAATGAATTAGAAAAAAAAATGATTGGTTAGTTAACTCCATGCTTTGTTGAAACACAAAGACTAAACGCTGATCAACCACATGCTTATTAAACCTCTGTTCCTAGTAAAATATGTGGTGTGTGTATGGACCTCTCAGGGTGATAAAACGAATCGGTACACTTTTCATGTATATCCAATTCACTCTCATTTTAAAAATGTTCAAAGTCAGTCATTAAAGGAGAAGTATTGGGAGAGTAAAATGTATTGCCAATACTTACAGGTCTATTCAAAAAAGGGTGAAGAGTTTGGAAAAGGCAGGAGAAGTGAACAATCTAGGACAACATAGCTAAACTGCAAAATAAGCTGAATTGGGGAATTTTTCCAAATCCGCTATTTTGGCCTAGATTGTTCACTGCTCCTGCCTTCTCCAAACTCTTCACCCTTTAGTGAATAACTCCTTTAGAGTCTGCAGTGTAACACGCTGGCTCTACAGATCGAGAGCTGCGCAATCACGAACTGCTGATCACTCAGTTCACAGTCCTCTCCATGCAGAGCAGTGACTGTCAATCACCACACCCCCCAGGGATTCCCCCTCCCTTCTCTCTGTTCCTCCAGAGCTCATTGGAGGGACAGACAAGGATAGGGAGCAGGTACAGATGGCTCTGGCTTTAGTGAGGCAGAAGCAGGCTGCCAGGCCTGATCTCCGCACTGTCAGCAATTAATGGACAGTTGCCTGCCAGATGCTGACCTTGGGTCACAGGAGTAGATTATTAAATGTTCACCTGTGACCCAAAAGAGGAGTAAAACCCCCAAAAAAGGTTTGTTTTTAGTTTTAGTTTAGTTTAGTTTTAAATTCATTACTTCAAAGGGCAAGGTACAAAGTGTCTCAACCCATAGCCACTGGTCAGAAATCTTGTTAAACTGATCGGACTTAAATAAACACAAATATTTTTAATTATTGTACGGGGTACTGCACTTTATCACTGCGCTTTGCACTGCCTTACTAAATAACCCCAAAAGGTCTGAAATACAAACTGTTTGTGTTTCTCAATGCAACCAGTCAGATTTCAGTTCTTTTTTTTCCCAGTACACATTTTAAAACAAAAAAGGAGATGATTGATAGTGACTTGAAATACAGATTGTTCCTCATGGTTGAAAAATAGCGATGCAGGTTTGAAACGGTACATGTTATGCCAGAATGCCATCCCGGTAGGGTAAACTTGGATTTCAAAGATCGTCTTGTTGAAATTTGGGTGTTGCACTGGAAAGATAAAGAAGCCTGCTGGCTGTGTGTTCCACATTAGTAAGCTCTTGTTTGCTATTAGGTATAGCTAGATCAGATCATATGTACATTTGTTATCATTATTTGCAGATAACTCTGACAACATATTTATTCTTAATAATATTATTATTTTGATTTAAAATGTATTATGATTTGATTGGTTCATGGTTCATTTGAGTTATATGGGTCAACAGCAGTTTGTGCATTAAGGACATGCTATTGGCCAATTGAAAATGTGCTCTTTTGGGAATGAAAGTGGTCGTATAAGGATTTTCTGGGTGGATGTTAATTCTGATGCTGTCCTCTTATAGAAACAGTAGATAACAATATACTCGTGTTCATTAGGAATGGCTTATCTAAGAGCTATGTTATTTGACAGGGGCAGCCTGATACTCCTTTTACTTCCTGCCTTCTTTACTTATCTCCTTCTTGGCATTACTTTATGTAGGCGGGGTGGAGCAAGGGAGGTTCTGTATTGCTGGGAAATTTGGATAAGTTAGGTGAAGGCCGATGGAAAACAGAAATACGTAGGAAGGATGTCTTAAAAAGTACACCCATTGGCTATTGACTACCGTTAAATATAGATATATGACAAAATGCAACATGTTTCAGCAAACTGTTTGATGATGGATATCATCTTTCCATAGTGCCAGACGTTCAGACACTGTATGTGAGAAAAGGTATTGTATCTACTGGAGGACACAATCACTTTCTAAGAATGTACAAAAAAAATATAAATGTATGCGTTACTACACTGTTTAACTTTGTTGTGCATAGCTCTATATAAAGACCTATAATACTTAAAACATAGGTCACTTTGATGCCAGTAGACACTATAGGCACAGCATCATTAGGATGACCAGTCCAGCTGGCAAAGCTGGATTCCAATATACATTCTTGAGGCTACAGTACAAAGTTTTCATTACCTTATCATTGGGTCCACCAGCACATACACAACATTGGCTTGTGATTCATTGGTTCTTTAGACACAATTACTTAATTTAATTCTCCAAATAAGTGGCACTATTAATCTTTATCCTGTACACTGGAAAACATTATATGATGTTTTTATGACAGATATTCTTTATTGATTTTATGTAACAGTTACAAAGGGTTTGATATACTAAAAGCAAATAAGCTGTTCACTTTGCAAGTAAATTTCCCCTTAGTTTAGTGAATGTGGTTAGAATTCCCTTTGCAAAGAATATCCAATAACATGCATGGAAAATTTAAAAAAAACAACAGTATTTTTGTTTGCTGATGATTGGATGATGGAAGTCAGCAGAGCTTCACCTCAATAACTATGTTAAGGGAAAAGTCCCTTGCAAAATGTACAACCTATTTGCCTTTAGTAAATCAACCCACAAGATCATGATAAGCTTTGTTTATGAATAATACAAATGTGCCGAACCACCATACTTAAACATATGTTTTTATACAAATTAAGCTAAAAGGAATTATAGACACAGCACACAACCATTTACATTGTTGTCTGGAGCCCTGGTTCCTTCTCTGACTACCCATTTTTAGATTTGATCCATGCTGCCTCTTCTGTTGAGCAACAAGAGTTTTCATTGATAACTACTACTGTTATGTGAGTCCAGAAACTAGCAAATACTGTATACTCTATGTTCAGTTTTGGTGGTTGACTGCTCGTAGCAAGCAGGGACAGGTCTGTGAGCATCTAAAATCTTACTTGCCAGGTTGAAGATGTCTGTCCAATGCTGGCAGAAGAAACCCAGAGAAAGAGGCTTCCAACTAGGATGAATAATATCATGGCACTTTCACATCTCAGTATAAGAACTAGCACATCTATCTTTTAAGTAAAGCGTTTTGGGAGTTCAGTCTTTTTTAATAAATACATTTAAAGGGATTTTCAAAGGCTAGCTAGTTTGAGGCTGTTATGAGACAAGCATAGGCATAGGAAGGGCTTACCTGAATCAAGTCCTAATGTTGTAACTTTAAGATTTGATTGCAACAGCAGTTCTATCCAGTAGCATTGTTCAAGACTTAAGTGTCTGGAAGCTTTGGACATACTCTGTACATCCTTCTGTACTATAAATCAACTTCCAGTTGTTACTCCCTTAACAATCTATTCCTGTGTAAGTATTAAAGCAATAAGCATAGAAAAAGAAAAGCCATAATATTAATGATCATGGTGTGTTCAAACGATACAAAAGTACACAAACTACCATTTTGTAAAGTATATGTTATCTGTTCGGTCCACCTCTTTCCATAAGTCTGAGTCTTTGTAAAGCAAAAAATCATGGGAATAAGTAGAATGTTATGATTCAGTGAGACATACCATGATAATCAGTAAGGCGTTCAGTGCAATGTTTCTGAAATTCATTAAACTTTTACCCATTTTTAAAAGCTAACGTTTGACAAGTATCCCCTGGTTTGGGTCACTTTATCTCAAGTACCCTTTAAGATATGTACATATGTTTATCACTAGCCAACCCACCATCACCACCACTACTACATAATTGTTTATCATAACAATTTTTTTTTAATCATTTAAAATTACTTATAAAATAGTAATTATTTATGAATAAATCCATATAACATTATAGTTAGTTTCTTCTAGAAGATGGCAGAAGTATCCGTTGGAGTGCATGTACCACTGGTAGAGGACCTTAGAATTAGCCTTGGTATTGATACAGAAAATGTGCCGATCTGATTAAAGGGTCTGCACATCGGCAGGGGTTTCAGTAGATCAATAAATATATGCATCTAAAGTTATATGCAGATTGCCCTGTAAAAGTCTAGTTTGGCCCTACCCCTTTCTAACTCTATATTTATGTCAATCACATAAAAACAACAAGGAGACTTGGGGGGAAGGACAGGGTGGAGTCACACTTGACTTTTACAGGAAAGGTCCAGATCTGCAATAAAATTGGGTGCGTATATTGATGGATCTGCTGATCATTTTCACTGAAGGTAACCTCTTCTTTTTTTTCATCTTTCGTCTATGGCAGTTTGAATTGTTCAAGGTTGTAAAAGGTTTATTCTAAAGTGATTCTATCACTTAAAATAAAACCTAAAGTAAAGGTTTCCTGAACAGAAGAACTAGAATACTCACCTCTCCTGGTTTCATTAGTAAGGTGGAATTCTCTGCTAAAATGTTTTCAGAAACTGATACTGGTAGCATCAATTTTCTGTCCCAT